ATATATACATATATATATATATATATATATATATATATATATATATATATATATATACGTATATGTTCCCAGTAGCAGCACATATATATAACACTTGTATGTTCCTATTGTTGTAGCTTCAGCTGCTTTCACGCAAGCTGGCATTACTGCCCCTGCAAGCAATCCTTGTGTTGAAAAACTGAAGAAGTTAATATAAGTCGGTGAAGTCGACGAGTGTCATGGAAGGCAGTACTGCTGGAATCTTATCTATATGATCTTTTAAGAAGCAGCATAAACCGTACAAAGTTATCCTCCGACTGTACTTACATCTGCAGTATCTATTTCTAGGGGGGCAAGTAACCCTATGAAAAGCGTGCATTTGGTTATATGCGTTTCTTTTGATCTGTTTGTTTTCGCACCTCTGTAGACTATTACTACATCATCATGATGATGATTACTACATCATTGTTGGTCCATATTATTGTATTCACTGTGTCTCTCTGGCTGCGCATCTCCCTTGTGTGGCTGTGCTGTGCTGTGCTTATCTCCGACTGCGAAACGAGGAAAGCTTGCGCTGAATATTCAAATAAACAAATTAATATGCATACAATTACATTAATTTTCGGGGGTACAAACGTGACACTAACGGCAAATCACAAATGGCTATGTAGTTGTTCATATTCTTAATTTTCGTTTTCGTGGTCTTTCGGTTGTATGGCTTCTGAGATTCTTTAGATATTAAGTGATTTCAGGTATCAATTCAACTCTTTTGATATGAATTTCTTTGTTTCAGTATCTAGTGCAGCTCTCTGCACCAAAATACAGTTCGTCTGCCTAGCAGAGATGTACACGGATAAATAATGATATTCACAGAGAAACAAGAGTAGGATCATAATAACAAGTCGGAAGGAAAACCGCAACCACCATGTGAGGTGGAAAGGCCTCAGAATGTAAAGTTTACATTCTGATATTTCTTCATAGGTTCGCTGCTTTTCACCTCAATGCTCTATCGAGCATGTTGCTCGGAGCAACAACGACAGTTAGCCTAATCACGCAGCAAGTGAACCTTCGCATACTGAGGCAAACAACGGCGGTTTCGACAGCTATTCGCTGCGCATACGGGAGGACGGATAAGCGGAATAACTAGGTAGCTAGCTAGCTAGCTGCTAGCTACGTAGGCGGCGGAAATCTGCCTGTCTAGGCAGAGATAGCTGCGAGGATGGCGACCAAACCGGCAGTTAGAATGCTGGGAACTGCAGCATCTGCAGAGCTGGTTACAATAGGATCCTCCAGATCCTCCTCCTTCATATCTTTTAATTCAGTTTTTCGTGTACTAAGTTCCTTGAAGTACTCCTCGCTGCAAGGAAGACGAAACAACCAGACAGAAACGAAGAATGCATCTCCAGCCATTGTTGCTGTTCACGTCTAAATCCTTGCGTAAGAACCATCTAAAAATTCAAATCCAAAAAACCAAGCTTACCCAAAAACGACTTCGTCGTCTGCTACTGCAGGACTTAATTCACAAAAAAGCACGGACTTTGTTGGTGCTTCTTCTCCAGCTGTTTTTGTACAGTTTCCAATGACACAGCCGACTTTAGTGCTTTTGGCTCCTAGAAGGTGCAACACGCTGGGAAGATTTTCCTTATCCCATATCTTTCCCCACGCCGATGCGTCTGCCGGATATGTCGTGCTGTGTGTAGAAAAAATCAGCGCAACACGACATAAATGTAGTCATTTTACTATGGATGACGAGAAAGTGGCGTCGGTAGCATGCTAGATGAGCTATGCATCATCGCTGTTGCTTTGGTTTGTTAAGACAGCAGGTAGAAGCTGCCTCTCGCGAAGATGAATATCGCATCTCCTTACCCGAATTCTGTTAGTCCGGTCGTGAGAGCTTCTTGCACCAGTGTGCGATAGTTTGGAGTTGCTGT